ATATAGAACCATGAACGCTCAAAGGACCCATTGCATTGTGAAAGCGTTCTTTAGATTGATGGAGAATGTGCTGTAGACAGTTTTATATAGGGTTCTTCTATTGTGACAAGCTTGGCATCATAATAATAGAAGAACCATTTCTGGTGCTATAAAGATCTATTTTCAGAAAGGTTCAATATAGAACCATCTACAGCGTATTCACGATGCAAAGCACCCTTTAATCACGGTTCTATATAAAACCATTTTTGTTATTGAAGAACCCTTGAAGAACCATTGTGTTCAAATACAACAATCAAGACAATTCTATTGAATAAAAATGTGCTTAAAACTAAAGATGTGTCCCAGAAATCATTAGCACTTCTCTGAAGGCCTTGAAGGCTCTAAGGGTTCCCCAGTTACAATAGAACATCACAGTAATTTTGCTTTCAAGCTGACGGGCACCCTCGGGGGGGTACCTGTGGACTCGCAGGTGTTTGCTTGCTCTGAATCTCCGTCCGGCGTTTCGTCTTCAGAGCCTGCGATGGAAGCTAATGCGATGTGAGGCGCTGACAGCAGACCGGGTGTAAGTAACGTTAGCGCTCCATAGCTTCAGCCCGTGGCACTCGACTGTGGCGCCTGGCAGCCTTATGAGAGCTCGTCATTAGCTCACGATTCACTGGCCACTAATTGGAATGTCAGTCCTGCGCCAGGCCGGATACGAGCGCACTTCCCCGGGACTCGCTCACCCACAAACACGCGCGGCCTTCGCTCTCATTTCTAAAGCAAATTGAATTTCAAAGAGGAAATTGGGCATCGGTAATTGATTTTTATCGTCGTGACATGGCGCAAAGGGGCTCGACTGGCAACGTGCATCCACGAGATGAAGCGGTCGTAATTACCCAGTCATCAAACTTGACTAATTGCAAAGCCCATAACACCAAGATCAGTTCGAGCCCTTTCAATACTATTAGCAAAGCTATCATGCAACAACAGAAGCCCAGAGAGTCTCTGCTGAGAGCGCCTGCGAACCCCTCCACCACTCAGGAGCAGGGAAATGAATAACACTGCGCTCCTCTGGAGGGCCATCTACTTGAGCAAACTTTGGTGACAGAGGACATTTAAGGATAATATACATCCTGCATGAACTCATTTGTCTTAAGTAGAAATTGGCCCGTGATTTGAATGCTCGGCACGCGGCCGCGTGGAGGAAATGATGAAGTAGTAGCCCGAGTTAAGACGTGCTCTTTTATCTGATGTAATAAAGGAGGAAGGTGCAGTCCTTGGTGCAGTCGGGCAAAGTCAAACGTGTCGCATTGACATGATTAATGATTTTAATAGATGTTTTTGGTGAGACCGTTTTAAAGCAGAATGTCAGAAAGATTTGATGATACCCCCGGTGACAAGCAGAAAAGGTTCTGATATTTTCCTGTAATTGTTTGAGGTTCCACCGGCCGTGGCTGTGGGAGATAATTAACTTTGAAAGAGTATCCAGTGTTGGAGGCCACATGTTGGCCTTTGATTTGAGAAAGATGGTGATGGGAAGGTCAGGCTGGACAAAGTTTGCTTGAAGAGCTTCATTTCTGCACATTAATTCGACTCATGCGTAAAAAAAGTAGTTGGAAATTTTGAAAAATGAAGAGACTGTGCTGCATTTATCTGAAACATTTATTTTTTTATTATTTATTTATTTATTTATTTATTTATTTTATTTATAAAGTGACAAGACAATGCCAGACAGTCGATCTTAGCTCAGATTGATGGGCAAGGTGCTGTAGATGGTTCTACATAGAACCTTTTGAAAAAGGGTTCTAAATAGCACCCAAAAGTGTTCTATAGAAGCATCTACAGCACTTTCTGAAGAGCCCTTTCATGATGCAAAGAACCCTTCAAAAAGGGTTCTTTGAGTGTTAACCATTTTCTTTACTAAAGAACCTTAAAAACCAACTTTTTTAGGAATGTATGCAAAAGTTTTTCTGTTTTCTGAAAATAAGTTAAAACATCCTCAACAAAACACAATTCTGCACATTTTCATTCATTTCATTTGATACTGTTACTGTAAAATATGGCCTGTGCAAAAGTTGTAGCACATTTTATATTTTATTTTTTCTAATATGTTAAATAGAAATTGTGCACTAAAATTAGCAGAAAAAAATGTAAGTTTGTTCCTTGTAGGGGGTGTGTTCACTTATTCACATAGAAATTATGCAGCTGAAATTGAATGTAGGCTAATATAACGAGACGGTATCCCTAAGTCATAATTTCTGACTTATTATTCACAATATGAGGCGTCTTGCATTTTCAAATGATGATTAGAAAAAGATAAAAACATATACATTTTGTCCCAAAACAAAACGGGCACTACAGTTCAGAAGTTAATAATCAGTGTTTCCAATAATATGAAAAAATTAGTTTGCAGATAAAAATGTAAAATTTAGAAATGTTGGATGTGTCCAGAATGATGAACAGAACTACAGATGATCCTAAAATAAAGTTATAATGAATGAATATACAGAGTTGATGAAAAAATCATGTACATGGATAATTACAATATATTACTTATCATTCCCAAAATACTAAAAACAGAAGAAAAAGGTTGATATGTATTTTTACTATATTCATACATTGTTATCATAATACAGACGCGATTAATATGTTTACAACCTTGTGAATGGTGATGTATCACAAGCCTTTAAATGAATACATGCTGTTGTTTTCAGAAGTTTGAACGGCCAAATGTTTCACTTCAAACTGCACGTTTTGTTGATTTTCTTGGTGAAATTAAGTTTCACACGTCTCTACAGGGAACAAACTTAAATATGACATTGTGCTGCAAATGTGCACAAATTCTAAAAATTTGCTGATGAAAAATAAAACATAAAATACCAATTTTATACCCTATTTTTTAAATTTTTCCCCAATATATTAAATTTAGTAAACAAACAATAATTGTGTATTAAGGTGTGCAGTAGTGAGTCTCCGTAGAGGATGTATAACTTATTTACAGTCAGATACATGGTTTTATACATGGTCACAGTATCTGTGCAGAGTTTATATTATATTATATTACATTTTCTGATGCAATTTGACCAGAAGTGCCCAAACTTTTGCATGTGATTATATAATAATAATGGCAATAAAAAGAATCAACATATAGTTTATAGTTTATAGTAATATAGTAATATAGTTTGGTCACCTATAGGTTGATATATGTATGTATGTATATAAACCTATAGGTGCCCAAACTATACTATAAACTATAAACTATACCCAAACTCTATACAATCTATATATATGTATCGGTGCCTATAGACATATATATATATATATATATATATATATATATATATAGGTTGATTATCTTTATTGCCACACATAGTAATTGTTAAAGAAAAAAGCTGCTTTTAAAGCAGTTGGTCTTAGTTTTCATGGATCTGTAGCTCCTCCCAGAAGGACGTGGTTGGAGGAGATGTTTCTCTGGATGGGAGGAGTCTGTAGTTATTCTCTCTGCTCTCGTAAGGATGTATTGAGTATAAACAGAATCAACTGAATGACAAACTATTCCAATTACCATTAAGCTTTACTGACAAACCCTTGCAATTCATATTGAGTATGAATATCTATATTTCAATACTATACTGTAATAGTGATGATGTAAGATCATTTATTGCCCAAGAGTGTGAGAGTATATATATCATATATTTAAAACCACCTCGACTTTAAAACCACTTGTTTCTTCGGTGTTTAAAAACTCCAGCAGCACTGCTGTGTCTTATCCGCTCGCACCAGCGCAACACACACTAACACACCACCACAACATCAGTGTCACTGTAGTGCTGAATGACCCGCCACCCAAATAATACCTGCTCTGTGGGGGTCTTGTGGGGGTCCTGACCACTGAAGAACAGGGTAACGAAGTATGCAGAGAAACAGATGGACTACAGTCTGTAACTGTAGAACTACAGGGTGAAACTATACGGTCAGTGGAGCTGATAAAGTGGACAATGAGTGTAGAAACAAGGTTATTTTAATGTAATATCTGATCAGTGTTTTTTTTCCAATCCATAAAGTAGAATTTGTACACACTCAGCGAAATTGCTCCATAAGTCAAGAGTCAGTACAGTGACAGGAACATCTGCTGCCCTGTGAGTTAGCGCTGGTTACCATACCAACAGAGCGCTATAGGAACCTGCTGGTATCCGTGATAATGGCATTCCAGTCTAGTGTGGGTAACGTCAACCTGCTGCAGGCCATTTCTCACTCAGAGTCAATGAAGGTGGAATAAATCATTCTTGCTGGTGTTATTATGACCAGAGCTTTTCAGTCCAGTCCACTGCTTCTGCCAACCAGTTCACATGTTCATTCTTCTCAAGGTTAAACCTCTCTGAGCTTCATAAAAGCTTCGTTCCAAAGCTCTACAATGCAGATCTGTTAAGAAACATGAAGGAACAAGACCAAAATATGACTGGCTTCCAGAGGACTGGATTTTATTCTTGTTTTCCATTTTCTCGACATACTTGGTTCGACTTTTATACTTTGTTAAAATTTCAGACATTAAAAATACATCATACAAACACAGCAACTACAGTGTGAAAAGAAACACCAAATAAAAATGTGAATTATATGTGCTGGGAATCTTTTTTCCTCACCACGCATGTGTTTTTGCACCCTCTCTTTCAATGGAGTGATTTAATTAAGACTTTCCATTCACCAGCTGGAGAACTTCATGTCTCAGTAAATAGATTGGCTTCAAAATGTCTTCCCCCTCAGACAATAAGTGGTGTTGTCTCATAAAGTCAGGGTAATGCCCTGGGAAGCTCGTCTATTTTGGGGTCTCTGAAACCAATCATCTGGTTCCGGGAAGCCTTCATACATTCCAAGTGTTCCCAAGAATTGGCTTCTTGTTTTCGTAGCCAGTCTGTTTCTCCAGCGTTAGAACATTACAACTTTTTCAAGCTGAATTCAGCATCACTGTTGACAAACTCAGAGCAATCGTTTCTTTAATAATCTGTTTCTTCCCGCAGAATGAAACCCCAGGTTGGGTTCTCCCCGTCAGCGCCTTCTCGCATGACTAACGGCTCCAGTGTTCTAATGGAACACTAACTGGCTCCAGGGCTCTGACCACGTCATCTGGAAAAAGGGGAGCGGACCAGATGGGAAGTGGTCAAACAATGGATGGCTGTTGTGTTCTTTCCATGGTCATCATGGTCTCCATCATGCCTGGTTTGGGAGGGAGTGAGCTGAGAATGTCCAGACAGGAACTGAGGGACAGCCAGCAGTCGGAAGCCCTCGGTGGATCCCGACCCAGAGCCAAACGTGACTGGATCTGGAAACAGCTGTTTGTTGAGGAAGAGGATCCGACACCGAAAATAATTGGCCAGGTCGGTTACCCTCAGGGGAAATGCTTCTGTTCTGATTTAAAGGAAAAAAAAAAAAGAATTAACAATTAGTGAGCTAAGCTCAGTTGATCTTCTACACTCTTAAGAAAGATGGTTCAGTAGTAAAGACAATGGTTCTATAAAGAACCATGAACACTCAAAGAACCATATGCATGATGAAATGGAGACTGATGGAGAATGAGTAGCATCAAAAACTCCAGAGTTTAAGACCATTTATTGTTAAACTGTGTTGAACGATCAGCAGAGCTTTATTTTACTGTAAAGGAGGATTATTTTATTTTTACCTACAAATCTGATTCTGCTGTGGAGCCACAACAGGACAGTAAAAGAGCCGCAGGTTGCCGACCCCTGGTGTGGGGTTACAAAAGCAGTAAAAATGAATAAAAAGCAAACATTTTTCCTCAGAAGCCCAGTGTCACCTAAACATTCTTCTCCTCCTGAGCAGGGGCGCAGCGATAGGGGGGCTAAGGGGGTCTACGCTCACTCACTGATCTTTAAAAAAAGTTTTTAGCTGCCAGTGAAAAGTGCCAGTTTTTCTACCTCGAGTGAATAAAAGGGGCAGACGAAGGTCTCCTTAGATCACCACAGGTTTTCAGTGGACAGTATCACCATGGCAACGTTTACACAGCTGTTTGCCAGCATGGTGGCCTTGCAAACATACATAGAAAGAAACTTTTCTTTTCAACTCCAGCATGTAAACACATCATTTGCTGCTCCACAGTTTCCCCTGATGGTGAGAACCTAGCTGAGCTGTGTTTGTTCAAATATTAATAGTTATTAATAATTAATAGCTATTTCCTGTTGGTTACCCAGTTAGCCCATGTGGCAGATTTATGGTTAGCCCATACTCGCTGTGCTGTTCTGTCAGTTGTTATAATTAATGCTAGCCACTTAAATGTGGTGTAAACAACTGTGTGTTGTGTTTCATATTCAAAAATGTTTTAGCTAAAATGTTGGCTAGCATCATCCTCACTATAACACTGGGCCTCGTTCTCCAACATCTTCCTAAGTCTGAAATTTCCTAATTTGAAAATGCCTGTTGCTCTTTACATTGTACACAAATTTAATGACGAACGGTTTAAAAGAAATGGCTAAAAATTACTTGGAAAAAATCTGGTTCTACATATATACCTCCTTGTTTCTATGCTCATTGTCCATTTTATCAGCTCCACTTACTATATAGGTGCACTTTGTAGTTCTACAGTTACAGACTGTAGTCCATCTGTTTCTCTGATACTTTGTAAGCCCCCTTTTACCCTGTTCTTCAGTGGTCAGGACCCTAATGGACCCTCACAGAGCAGGTACTATTTGGGTGGTGGATCATTCTCAGCACTGCAGTAACACTGCAGCAACAGATGGACTACAGTCTGTAACTGTAGAGCTACAAAGTGCACCTATATAGTAAGTGGAGCTGATAAAGTGGACAATGAGTGTAGAAACAAGGTCATAATGTTATGCCTGATCGGTGTATATATATATATATATATATATATTCATATACATATGAAATTAAAAAGTAGAAGAGCAGCTGGCACTTTCAAATGGTGCAAAAATAAATAAAAAAAAATTAAGTTGAACATTTTTGCTATGACAGCAGTGATATGAAGTTAAAAGGTCGAGCACTGCAGTTGTTCCAAAATCAGAGCGAAGGGTATTAACTGCCCTTTACATTGTACAAACACTTCATAACGCAATAATGGCTTCAAATGAAAAATTGCTACATTAATACTAATTAATAAAAAGCTAACAATTTTCTATTTTGGAGATTTTGTTTTGATTATGACAGCATGTTGTTCAGTTTAGCATCTGTTGTTGTTCTATTTTAAAAGACTGTATTTACTGTAATTTTACTGCTGCTAAAATATGAACCTTTTATTTTTCACTCAGCTGAAATCAAACTTTGACAAAGGAGACTTTACAATCAAGTACTTCCTGTCTGGAGAGGGAGCCGGAGAGGTCTTCAGCATCGACGAGTACACCGGTGACATCCATACTCTGAAGAGCCTGGACAGAGAAGAAAAGGCCTTCTACGTGCTCCAAGCCCGCGCCATTGACCGCAGGACTGGCCAGCCGGTGGAGACCGAGTCTGAGTTTATCATCAAAGTCCAGGATATCAATGACAATGCCCCGGAGTTCATAAATGAGCCCTATGTGTCCAGTATTCCAGAGATGAGTCCGATGGGTACGGCAGCTTCTATCTCAAAGAGCGATTCATCCTTTTCATGTGCTTTGAAGCTCTTATAAGGAATATGTGAAACAGTGGAACGGCGCCGTCAGCGGACCAGATCTGAGTTTCAGAACAGACTGTACTGAGAATTAGATCTTAATGTCATCAAAGCTGGTTTAGAGTGAAGCATAAGAAGAAGCAGCTTCGTGTTTATCTTCTTTGCCTGTTAGATCTACGAAGCACCGTCTGTTAAAAGAAAATTCTCCAGATTTTTATACATTTCAGCGTAATGGAACAAGTGAGATGTAAGACAAGTCATTCTGAGTGGTTTGATGTGAAGTGACAGCGAAAACTCACCAACTCAGATTTCTTTACAGTGGTGGTGATAGGAACCAGGACTGGGTTGAACCAGGTTTGCGTGAGTTTGTACTTCAGTCTGTGTGTAAAGCCTTTACTGGGTCCTCAGTTACACTCGTTAGTTTCCAGCTATCCTTTCACTGAATTTGGTTGCACCACAAATCTGTAAGTCATGTTTTAACTAGTAACAACAAACTAATGCGTACATCACTTTAAAATGGCGATAACGTTCAGAACCGATCAGTAAACCCGCTGCCATGGAAACACGACGGCAGCTGCTCTGACTGTAATATGTAGCCTAGAAGAGAACGATGTGTACAAGTTAACAACCAAAGAAGTCGTGTTTTTGGTCATTTTTGTGCTCTCTGTGTGTTTCTGATGGACTCCCCAAAACTTACACCTGCTGAGGGGGGTGTAAATATTTAATAGAGCTTATAGCTCAAAGTTAAAACTAGTTTGTGGTGCAGCTCGTTCTGATTTAGTGATGATAAACCTGAACTTTGTAAACACTTACATTATAACTAGCCTATGTTTGATCTCACGCACAGCTGGTGCAACCGGCCACAGGGGTCACCATGACTACAACACAAATATAGACATTTTACTATCCAAAACCACCAGTGAACCTACACGAGTACTATTTATATGTAATCAGGGTGGATAAAGTACAATAATTTCTGTGTCCGAGCAAAAATAGAAATACCCTTTGATATATATATATATATATATATATATATATATATATATATATATATATATATATATATATGAACATTTTAAACTTATAGTCTCTAAGCACCTCCAATCAGTCTGCAACTTTTTAAATTGATTTTATGTTATTGTTATTGTTTTATTTTTATTATTCTATTTTATTCATTTTAAAATTGCCAGCCTATTGTATTTCAATAATTATATTTTTATTAATAATATTTATCTTTATCTTAATTATTGTTACTATATTGTTGTAATTTTAATGGTTTATTAATTTAGTATTTTTTTAATTTACTACTATTACTTTGTTAGCATTTGACACGTTTTCACTATTGAACTATGTACACATATCATTACGATACGTGATATGATAATATATATCGCCGCTGTCCAAAGAAAACCATGTATCTCCATTTTGGTCAAATTGTATATTTCTACATCATTTCAACACAACACACACCACAACATATCACAATCTGTCCTTTACGTTGTGTGAAAGTTTCATGATGAAGGCACCAATAGAAATGCTCTAAAATGACTTAGAATAAAACCTCTTAACATTGACTTACACTGGAAGGTGAGAGTGTTTTGTCCTCTCCTGTAAACTTACTATTTTGGAGATACTTGTTTTTCTTTGGACATGGCTGATATAACAGTTCTGACTCGGTAAGTTTCTCTAAAGTGGTGCGTTTCACACCAAACCACTCTGAATGACTCCGTTTACATCTTAACCACTTAATTATGCAGAGATTTAGAAAAATTTGCTAGACTGCCCCTTCTAACTGTTGTTAGCTTCAAAAAATTCACCTTCAAACTTTCAAGTAGATTTTGTCTTTTATCTTCTTCATCATTCTACATGCTTAAAAAAAGCATGGTCCTTCAAGGGTTACACTTTCTATGAATGTCACCTTTGTAAGCATCTATAAACACATTCATAACATGTTATAATGCATTCATAAGACATTATAAACATAGCTATAAATATTTATAAAAATGCATTATACGTTATAGCCATTTTTATTATACATTATGAATTGTTAACATAATACATTATAAATAGTGATCATAACAAATTATAAGAGCTCATAAGTTGTATTTGTCCGCTCTAAGTAAAGTGAAGCATACTGTACTAAAGCCTCCTCCAGTGTTAAGAGTGAGGCTTCAAGTTGAAGTATTTACTGAAGGATTTACTGAAACACTAAAACATTCACAGTAAAGCACATTACATGCTTCAAATGTCAGAGTTTAAACTAGAGCTGCCATCAGTGTTTTACCCAATGTGGGAAAGGTAATGTTCACCACCGTTAGCTTGGTATTTGTCTTTACTTTACGCTCTCCAAGCTGGAACTGACTTCTTTGGCACTGACAGTATAACATGTTATTAACACTATTTATAATGCATTATATTAACAATTCATAATGTATAATAAACATGGCTATAAAGTGTAATTCTTTTATATAAATATTTATAACCACATTTATAATGCCTTATGAATACATTATAACATGTTATGAATGTGTTTATAGATGCTTACAAATGCGACATTCATAGAAAGTGTTACTGAAAATAGTTCTATATAGAACCATGAACACTCAAAGAAGCATGATTAAAGAGTTCTTTGCATGATGAAATTGTTCTTCGGATTGACGGAGAATATGCTGTATAAGGTTCTATATAGAACCTTTTTGAAAAGCGTTCCATATAAGACTCAAAAAGTTGGTTACAAGCAGTAGAAAAACCCTTTTGGGTTCTATATACATCCATATACCATCTACAGCACTTTCTCCATCAATTTTGAAGAACGCTTTCATGATACAAAGAACCCTTTAATCATGCAAAGGATGCTTCTATATAGAACCATTTCTTTACTAAAGAACCCTTAAGGGACTATCGTTTTACATTATTTTTACTATTTTAAATATTTTACTATTTATGATTGCTCTGTGTGCACCTTTCATATTAGGCACCCTGAGCTGCAATTCTATATATGAAAGGCAGTAATAATAATAATAATAATAATAATAATAACAACACAAAGGATGTTAAATTCAGTGTCTGTGTTGTTGTTGAAACTCCGTCCTAAACTGTGCATTGCCAGCTGAAGCGCTGCTCTCTAACTGACATTTGAGTTGTTTATGCTCAGCGCTGTGAGACACTGGTTTGTTTTGATTCCTCCTGATATGAAAATAATACTTTTTCAGCTTTCTACATTTCTTCGCTGTATAATTTCCCCTATTTTTTTTTTTTCTGCCGTGCTTATGCTAAGGTTTCCACGCGTTCTCACTGTGAGGGAAGCTTCTGCCACTTAACCGCATTGGTTTGAGATATGATACCCCCGAATATTCTCCGCAGAATATGATTTATTTCGGCCTAAATATTGTTATCATTACTATTGCCTTTTTATTGCACGCACATTACCATTTCAATTTGTACGTAATCTGTTTCAGCTGCATAATGTCTTTATTGCAATAAATCATACTGCAGGGAAGGAAAGGAAACTAGAGAAGCGAGGAAAGGAGAGCAAGGTGAAAGGAAATAAAGGGTGACGCGGGAAAGAGGGATAGCCTCGCGCCCCAGAATATTGCAGCAGGAGATTTTCAGAGAGAGAGAGAGAGAGATAAAAAGAGCGAGATCAGTCTGAAAAAACAACAGAGAAACAGAAAACACAGCGATAGACTGACTGGCAGAAAAGTTGAAAGAAGTAGAGATAAAGAAGAATGAAAAAGGAGACTTGATAAGGACGCGGAGAAAGAGAGATAAAGAAGGTTGAGGAATGATGATGAAGAATAAAGGGCGAGAGATAGACAGGGAGGCATGGGAGAGAAAGAGAGAGGGAGGGGAAGGGGGGTCTTGGGGAAAAGAACTGTCATGCTCACCTGCTCTGTGGCTGACACACACACACACAGACACACATACCCACACACACACACACACACACACACACACACGCACACACACAGAGAGAGAGAGAGGTTATTTACATGAGTCAAAGGCTAGTGTTGACAGTGTGTACTCTCTCTCTCTCTCCCTCTCTCTCTCTGTGCAGGGACCACGGTGATCCAGGTGACAGCCACGGATGCAGATGACCACATGTTTGGGAACAACGCCAAACTCATCTATTCCATCCTGCAGGGAGAGCCGTACTTCTCAGTAGAACCCAAAACAGGTACCGAGCGCAAAGACAGCTTTTCCTTTTAGCACCACTGACACAAACTCTGCTGTTCTGCTGCTCATTAACGCAACAGTTTGGCTTAAAAATATACAATTCTAAATATCAATATACAGCGTTTATATTCATTCCCGCTACCACAAATACTCAATCAGCCAAAGCATGTTTGATGTCTGAAATTTGCTTCTTTAGTTTTGCTTTAAAGGCCCAGAACAGTATTTTTCCTCCTTATTCAAAACGTTAGATCAGCAGAAAGTGTGTGATTACCCTCCTACTTCTGCGTCAGTCCAATGCCGAGTGCACACTGCCCCATAACGATATGAGGTTGAAGCCAGCTTCCTATTCGCCAGCTGCTTGTTTGAATTTTCCGTTCCACCTTAAATGGTGTAGCAGTTACTTTCTGGCTCTGCACCATTTAAGGTGGAGCTGAACAATTCGAACAAGAACCTGGTGAGTAAAAAGCCGACTTCCACCTCATGTCTAGAATGTCCAGAAGAAATGGCCCAATATTACTTCCAAAAAAGTTGACTTACAAAAAGTTGACCAGCAAATCATCGCTGTCCACAGAAAAACGTGTATCTCCAGTTTTGTGGACGCACCAGTTGTACTTTACATTGTGTGGAAATGTCATGATGAATGGACCAATAGGAATGCTCCAAATTCACTTTGAATAAAAGCTCTTTACATTAACTTACATTAAAAGGTATCAACATTTTTTGCCTTCTCCACTATTTTGGAGATACTTGTTTACTGTACTTTTTTGGACAACAATAATGTTGTGTTTTGGATGCTGGTATGCCAGTCAACCAGTATGACCATAATGGGTGACCAGCTAAACCAGCTTAGACCAGTATGGAATGCATACACACACATTAACATGAGTCAAGGGCTACTGTTGAATGAGGAGAGACTTATAAACCTGCAACTAAAAGCCACATTAATATTTCAAAAGCATGTTTGAAATCACTGGCAACATTTTACAAAAACAGCATGAATAGTTTGTAGCATTTTGCTGAAATAAGGCACAAAAAACACATTTCAAACAGCTCAGATGGTTCAAATGATTCAGTGTGAGCATCACTAGATACGTTAGCATCATAGCAAATATTCGCTGTGGAGGGTCTTCCTCCATCTGGAGGGGAAACTATGTCACAATGTTTCAGGGCTTAAAAAAGTTTTTAATATAAAACAATATTTTTAAGAGGTTTAAAATTCATGTTTACTTTTTATATCATTAATGTTATACTACATTTAAAAATAAATATATTTTATTTTTTAAATTAAATTCTCAGAGAGATTTTGGTCACTGGTGTTATCAGGACTCTTATTTTACATTTTTAACTTATTTTCAGCTCTATTTAACTGCTTATTTGGGTCGAGGCTCATCAGAGAGGAAGCATCTTGAGGCCTGAGAAGGCGAGTCTCACTCGCTCACTATTTCATTAAGTAATTAATTTTGTTTATCAGGCAGCTCATAACTTCTGTCACTGGTGTTTTGTGCTTTAATGGCTGGGTAATTATAATTTAGTGAAAATAATGCCAAAATATAATTTTTATTACTGATTTTAAATAGTTTCACAAGGTCACCTGATCAGCCAACGAGTCAGCCAGTTTACAGAATCCTCAGTTTCACCCAGAAAGTCACTGGAGTCACCGTCACTGGTGTTACACCATATTCATACAACACCAGTGACTGTAGAACATGTTTGGAATGAAGCTCTCCTTTCTGCATATATGATAATGGGAGATGTTAATGGGCATATTAAGATTATTTTGTTTTGGGATGAAAAAAATTGAATTCCCACTCCAAATGGAGAATGACCAAGTGTTGTGTCCATCAGTTCCTGCAAAGAAATTTGGTCTGTCTGTTTTATTTTGAAAGGAAACGAGACTCACTCACTCTGTCTTACCTTCTTCTAAGGTATAATCGTGACCTCATGGCCAAACATGGACAGAGAAGCGAGCGAGCAGCACCTGGTCGTGGTTCAGGTGAAGGACAAGCTCGGATATTCTGGAGCTTACAGCGCCACGACGACAGTGACCATCACCCTCACTGACGTCAATGACAATGGACCTACCTTCCAACACAGTGAGTCACAGCTACCCAGAGCAAATGTTATTGCTCAGATGTTATTGGCTCAGGAGAATCTCCTGAAATTCCTCAGGAGAAAGAGCGTTAGGCATTAAGGAGACATGAGATCCAGGTAGAGATGAGCAGTATTATCTCAGCAAATCTGAGCAAAGCGTTTGACTTCATTAGGATTTCTACTAAACCTCGAGAGGTTTAATTTAGTTTGAATTTTCTTTATTTTTGGTTGAATTTTCCTGTTCCACCTTAAGTGGTGTAGCAGTTATATTCAGGCTCTGCACCATTTAAGGTGGAACTGGAAAATTCAAACAAGAAGCTGGTGAGTAAAAAGCCGACTTCCCACCTCATGTCTAGAATGTCCAGAAGAAATGGCCCAATATTACTTATATTGATGTCCTGATTCTTGTTGAGATAGAGGGGGAGGGTGAAGTGTTGGGGCTACATGACCCTCCAAACGGAAGTTTTTCAGAGACTCCAAACAGAGAGTTATGAGGAAAAAAGAAAAACTGGCAAGATGGCTGAACAAGAGACCAAAGAAACCCACAAATGTGAGAATTTTCTCTTAAAAAATTACGATAATCACTGTATTATCTTAGTTTAATGTTGTTTCAGTGTATTATGGTTCTTCTCTTCATAACAGGCAAAAAAAATCACTAAAAGCATGCTAATGTCTCGGGAGCTAGCTAACTTTGCGGTTCCACCTTAAATAGTCCAGCAGTTCTGAAGCCTGAAGTGCCAAAATGTAAATGCTGCACCATTTAAGGTGGAATGGAAAAATTAGAACAATAATCTGGTGAATATCTGACTTCAGCTTCATATCACTGAAGAATTAGTGGTGGGTGATAATAAATAATTGCCCCCCTCTTTGAAGATCATATGATGCCCTAAATGTAACTAAAGCCCAGCAGTGAGGAGCTGAACTTTACCCTCCTCTGCTGTCACTGCAGACTGGCAGGGTCGCCTACAGAGCAGCGCTGGTAGCTGTTAATGAAGTGATGCTCTTTTTATTTGAGGGTCCCATTTCAGAGGGGAGATTTCAACCACTGCCCTGTAACTCAGTTCCAAGGGGCAACACTCGAAAACAAGGGGTAGGGATAAAAATAAGAAATGGGACTGGGCCTAAATGTCCACTAAACGGCCGATTGATTTCACCTACGTTCTCCTCTTTTGATGTAAACTGGGTGGCCCTCATTTTGGGTTGTGCGTATTTTAGGGTCCTCACCAATCACAGAGCTGATGTCCCGCCAAATCATCCTTAACAACACTGAGTTCACCAGCAGCCTCTCTGCGTTTAGGACGGATAAAGTTGCCCTGAGAAAGTCAACAGCAAACAAATGCTAATCTTGCACAACTGACCTGAAAATGTCTGTTTATCCATTCATTCTGTCGACTGGCCAAGCCAGCATTCTGTGAATGGACATCCAGCTGTAAAGTGAAAGAGCACCTCACCCTCTTCAAGACTTTCCTTCGTCTGTCCATCTGATCTCATTGGTTACACTGCAAAAAATGGTGTCTTCATGATTAAAATGTTTAAAATCTATCATCTTTACAAAGACGATGCTTTAAGGGTTCTCTAGTAAAGACTACGGTTCTGTATAGAACCATTTGCATGCCTTAAAAGTTCTTTGCATGGTGAAACGGTTCTCCAGATTGATGGAGAATGTGTTGTATATAGTCCGTCAGATTTTCAGCCTGCAAGATGGTGCGTCTCCTTCATATCACTGTAGTTTACAGCAAAAAGGGGATCTTAGCAAATGAAATGATCTTAAATTTAGTCAATATATCGAATATTTCTCTTTTTAGATGGTTGTAAAATTAGATTGTTGTTAAATACAAGATTTTTTGACTTATTTCTAGACGTTTATTACTTGGTTTGAGTGATTTTAGTAAGTCAAATTTTCTCACTGTATTGTTCCGTAAATTAATTTCAACAAACAAATCACTTTGTTTTGCCATCGCATGACACATAACACGCCAAACAGACCAGACGAGAACACAGACTGGTAACAAGTGTTTAACTAAGAGACAAACACAATAAAGGAGCTAGAGAGAAGTGTGAATATCTGTATATATGCAGGTCTGATGACATGTACTATAAAAACTATCATATACAGGATATTACAGAGTGATGTGAACATTTGCACACAGCTGTACAGCTGTGCGAACGAAGTTATGCGAAGTGTAGAGAAACACAAAAAGAGCGCTGGTGTTAATGTTAGTGCAGATCCAGTATTGGAGTAATAAACGTCTACAAATAGGTTAATTATTCTTACTGCAATCTTAAAATGAGAAATATTGGATATTGTGGTGGCAAAGTACCTATTAGCCCCACCTGGTATCATGAGGCGCAGGGGCTACAGACATACATATATATATATATATATATATATATATATATATATATATATATATATATATATATATATATACACAATATAACCACTAAATTTAAGATGATTTCATTTAAACTTTCACAAAAATGGATATTCAGAGAGCCTCATTCCTCTTTTGCCTTGAGCTGCACGATCAGTGAATCTGCCCCTGTATGCACTAAAAGGTTCTTAAGGTGAAGCAAAAGCGGTTCTTCTATTCACTCCAAAGCACTCTTTGACCCCGAGGGCTCATCTAGTTTACCAGTCGTGTAAATGCAGCGCAATTTTGGAGTGAATTTGAACACAAAGGGAACTTTGTCAGGAAACGTGTAACTGTCAGGGTCAAAACCATTGTGGAAAGGTAAAATACTACACAGTCATAATGTATCAAATATAAAAGAATGAACATGAATGAAGTGGCAGTGGTTCAAGAACACTGCTCCAAAAATTCAAAGTCAAAATATTTAAGTAACCTAAGAACAAACTGTGCTGTTTTGGAGCCCAATTGAACTTTCAGTCATTCATTTCCTTTCAAAATATGCGTCTTTGAACCTGGAACCATCAACTCAACTTTTACCATTAGAATGTCTTAAACACCATTAAATAACGTTTCCTTAAAGGGCAACATTTTTAATTTAGGGGACTCAAAACCTTTTGAAAAACTTTTGAAATCATGAAGGACACTGCAGGTTTGATAGAATTTCAGCCAATTTCACTGCTAATGATTTGGCTCTTACCATATTTTGGGGAAAGGAGTTTGAAGTGGACGAATCAAAGCTCCTGTGGTTTGTGCTTGACCTGTGGTTCAACACGTTTCTCTCCTAGTTTAGTGCTGTACTTCTAAATCTCTGAGGGATCACAGGGTTCCTCCTCCAGACTGCGGTTCGATAGTTCTTCATCAGTTCCTGCTCTGGTGGAACATTCTGTCTCTTTGATCTGCTCTTTAAACTACTAAGCCAGACCTTCTTGACTCAGCATTAATGAAAGGAACTTTCTGGAAGATCTGGCTTTGAACTGGAAGCACTTAGTTATGCACCGTCTGTCTGAAGACGTGAGCTGCAGGGTGGATTGCTGACAGTCTAAGAATGTGTTTGGATGTGTTCACTGAGTCGCTGACTCTTCAAGAGACTCTCAAATGTGTCATGTTGTCTCCCCCATCCGGGGAAACTACACTTGGACTCTTCCTGGCTCCGCCCACTCACACCTGCATGTGATTCCAGGACTCGTTACTCCCTTTTATGAACTCCTTAGTTTGGATCAGTTTAAGTCTGTGTTCAGACTGCAGACAAATCAGATCCTTCGAGTCGCCTGTCTGCTCTGCTATTTAAGTGGTCAGATCTGATTTGTGTGTCCAGACATCACCAGTCTATCTGCATGGGTTGCCGTGGGAACGATGTAGGTGTCAGTAACTATGTAGTTACGCTGGTGACGTGGATTTCAAGTGCGGATATAGGAGAGACTCTTCAGAACTCGTGAATCTTTGTAGCTCTTCTTGAATCCCAGCACTTCATCACTCTGGATTTGACATCGTCGCTGTTTGTCGTGTTGTGAGTGACGAAAAAGACTTTGAAATCTGATTTGAGCGTCCAGAGCGTCCAGACTGAGACGTATCTGTAAAAATTTGAGACGCATTTCAAACGAGCTACAAATGTGGTTCTAATCCAATTTGCAAAAATCAGATGTGTTTTCTTGCCATCCAGACTATCAAAAATCAATCTGGATATGCCAAAAAAAAATATTTAGGCTGGCAGTCTGAACACTACGAAAGCATTTTAGGGCCACTGTTAATAAAAATAAAAATAGTGGACTTCGAGAATAAAGTTATAATATTTTGAGAAAAAAAGTCATAATATTTCCAGAATAAAGTCACAATATTTCGAGGAAAAAGTTGTAATATTTAGAGAAAAAAATCTTAATATTTGGAGGATAAAGTGGGCTAACTGTAGGGGGACTAACTGTAGGGGGGCTGCCATAACGCGTTGGGGTCTCGGTTGCTGTACTGTAGGGGGGCTAACTGTAGGGGGGCTGCCATAATGCGTTGGGGTCTCGGTTGCTGTACTGTAGGGGGGCTGCCATAACGCGTTGGGGTCTCGGTTGCTGTACTGTAGGGGGGCTGCCATAACGCGTTGGGGTCTCGGTTGCTGTACTGGCGCCGGAGCTCCACTCACTCCTGTCTCTCTGTGGATCATTTTGATCATCATTCTCACTGTCTGTGAAACTTCATGCCCTCTTTGAATGGGGGGAGATGGAGCCCCGATAGCCGTGTAGACGACCCTGCCTGAGATTCTCCTTCAACAACACAGACAGACAGTTTCTTCCGAGTCCGTCTGGCTCTTTATTCTAGATAAACACAGTTTCCTGCTCAGCCGTTTCAGCCGGTTCTTATACTAATAACAGGCTGGTGCTGATGTGCAGGAGAGACAGGGAGACTGAGTGCTTCTTTATGGGTGAATCGATATGAAAGTAGAACTCCACCAACTGACCGACCCTCATTTAACACGAGGAGGGGCTGCCTTCACTTTGAAAAGCCTTTGGCCACAATATTGCAGCCTTTCCTGGTGTTAATGCCACTTTAATGTCGTAATTCTACAATTTTTTTCTCAAAATATTACGACTTTTTTCTCAAAG